TATATACAGAGTGTTCCTAAATGGCATGTACATAAGGGAGGGGATAATTCTTTGGCTTATTTCATGACTAAAAGTTCATATAAACATAGGTGCAGGGTGTTGAAATTTTAAGATTTTTTTAGTTTTCTCTCTATAGCTTCCACAGTTTTTGAGATATTTGGCTCAAATTTGGAATTTTTTCGTTACTACATACTGCTAACCGCAAAACAAAACATGAAGTGGACACCGAGTGCTAAATTAATTTTTTGTTTTAACACTAATTCCAATACCTCCGTTTAAATCTTAATTATAAAAAATCTTTTACGGTTTAATCAACCACATTAACAACAAATGTACATTACCTGCTCTTTATACTCTTTTGCTTCGGCACACGAAAACACGCGTTAAAACAGGTCATTCACTTGAGAAATCAAACATCACCTAACGTCGCTTTCGTGTTAAATCCTAATATACCCAATAAATTTACCGTCCTTTCTGGTAATCGTGACGGAAAAATAAAATTTACATTTTCACTGCGATATTTTCTGACTACATCTATAAATCCTCACGCATCAGTCACTTCTTCGCTATCTCGGCAGGTACTGAACCCGACCACTGCCACCTGAAATCTAGCGTCGATGACCTTCGTCTTTTTAGTAATTTTTTGCTCTAAACGCAAACTTATTCATCACGTTTCCAACGAATCATTTCATATCGTCTCCGAAAAAGCGACGAAACTGTCACATTCTTTAATTTAATATCTCCGCAACAAGCGGATAACAATAGAAAAGTGTCGTCGGTAAAAAAAGTTTCCGCCCAAAAACGTTTACGGATGATTAAAGTACAAGTCTAATAAGATATCGATTTATAAGGAGCCATAAGCTGCCAAGATGGAACTTTTTATTGTCCACAGCTGCACCTATACCGGGTGGACTGCCGTAAGAGGGCTATATAGCAGATAGGCAACCACCAATACATTTTTATAGATTTTGTTACACGATTTGTCTAAATATGAATTAATGCACAAATAACAGACTTTCCCCCATTTCGTTTTTTAAAATTAAATTCTTCATTCTTCATTTCCAGGTATAACTTGCCAACTACACAAAAGAAACAGTCGTAAGATCGTGAAAATGTCAGATCTCAAGCCCGGTACCAGGTATAACTCCAACACCTGGGGTGTCGACGCGAATAAAAACATCGTTCCGCTTCAACAAGACACCGGCTTATTCCCTGGCGCCCATAAAAACTACCTGGTTTACAACATTGGAAGAACCCCGGTGTACGCGGAACTGAAATATGGAACGAAAGTGATGTGGCATGGGGTTGCAGACAAAGGAACCATAGCCCCTGGCGAAAAAAAGATACTCAAAAACTGGGGAAAATCTTACTATGTTACAGGGTTGCAAGTTTTTAACAAGACAGGCATTAGGGCAATAGTCCACTGCGCTACCGAGGACGATGAATACCGCCTGTACGCTGACAAAGAAACAGGCGCTTTCGATGAAATTATGTACAAGTTGTTAAAAGAAATCTTCGTGCAAGGCCTGAAACTAGTACCGCGTGTAGGCTCCGGTTTAGCGGGTATAGTCAATCAGTTCTGGCCTAAAAACGAGCCCAGTGTATGGGACCAGATCCAGGACAAGGTAAAGGCTTTAGTGGACGAGAAGATACTGCATACCATCAGCGGGATACTGAGCGGAGACCTCAGATATTACCGGGAGAGAATTACTACGCTTTCGGAGGAAATAGAAAGCGGAAGTAATCCAAACGATATAAGAATTCACTACATGAACATCGCCCAGGATATGGTCGGCTTCGAAAACAAATTCAAGTTCACAAGCGACACACCAAATTACCAGGACGTCAACCAATATATTCTTCCCCATTTCTCGGCGTTCATTTTGTTGAAGATCTCGTTCTATGTAATAGGCATCCGTGACTCAGCAGCCATCGGTCTTACCGAAGAGAATGTAAAAAGTATAACCTCCTACGCGAATAAGACCGTCTTCGGAGACAACGGCGCCAACAAGTACATCACTGAGTTGTACAAAGACAGAGTAGACAACGCGTACAGCACCTGGTACTCTGAGGACTTGTACAACGACATGATGAACGTGAGGACGTACATATCCACGCAAGGTCTCGAGTACATGGTACTTTGGAACCACATGATTAACAACCCTCAACAAGCCGACCAAAACCCGTACAACGACGTAATCTCCTACTCGACTTTCTACGGAAGGCAGACTCCGAATCTCATCCACGAAGCCACTCCCGAAGATCTTATTCCGCCGCTTACTCCGAAATTAATAAATGGAAGGCGCAACAAGGTGTCTTATATTGACTTTTTCATATGGCGGATGAACAAAGGAGAGGGAGAGCCCAAGATCGGGGGACTGAGAATGTATTTCGAAAACGGAGACAGCTACACTAGAGGCACCGTGACGAAGGAAATTCGGAAAATTCAGTTTGGGGGATCTACTCTCATCAAGTTGGAAGTGCACGGACGTGGAGCGTTGGATTTCTTTGTATTTTACTTTTCTGATGGGAGGAAAGAAACCTGCGGAACCAAAGAATATCACGAGTATCACACCGTCTTCGAGATGAAAGATCACCATATAGTCGCCATTTTTATAGCATCGGATAATTACAGTCTTGGTGGACAAGCTGCCAATGTTTCTGTTGCGTATCAGTTAAATGAGGATATTTCCCTCGGAACAAATTAAGATGTTCTGGAAATTCACTAAATTGTTGTTTATATGCTCTGGAAATTCACTAAATTGTTGTTTATATTTTAGTAATAAAGGCATTAAAAAAAAGTATTTGAATTCATTTTTAAAAAATATTTTTAAGGTGTCCACTGTGAGAACTATACTGCAATTTTTCTTTAAAATTTAAAGGCTTAAAGATTTTAGCAACCCTTTAAAAGAAATCTGAGGAAATTATATCCTCTATTAGTCCAGACGGTATCTGTTTCAAAAAGTCCATATTTGGGCGAATGCGAATCGTATATCCACGGAGATTTTTGGCTTTTTGGCTTTCAAATATAACTAGAAATTAAAATTTTTCAAAACGAAGACTTTTGGCGGCACAATATGTTAAAAAAATTCGAAAAATGTCATATTTTTCTTCCTATTTAATTATGTATCTTTTCAAGAGTTGATTTTAGGCGAAAATGGGAGAGGAAAAAATTGTTTGTAATTAAGATGTGACTAGTTACAAATCGAATGAATCATGATTATTATTGTAAAAATCGAATAAATCGCCAAAAATGGGGTTAAAAAACATTACTTTTTAGGGAATTTTTTTTGGGGTCTTTAAATTTAGTATAGGACTTTCATACTTAGCCCAAGAAAATTTCATGTTATATAGAATCATCATACCAAATTTCATAAAAATCGGTTCGATAGATTTTGCATAATAATTTTGCAATCCAGATTTTGAAAAAAAATTTGCAAATCTTCAAAATTTTGCACAGCAAAAACCAAGGCCTTTAGATACTTGAAAATTTAATCACATATAGAAGGGCTCTCAGGCTTTCTAACGCTTTTTGAAAAATTCGAATCCGTCAATTAGGAGAGCTCTGGCGCTTGTTTAAACATTGGTCGAATTTTTGTACTTATAAACAATTAGAATAACTTTGTGAATATTCAACCAAATCAAATTTTTTAAAATAGATTTTAAAAGTTCTTAGAAAGAAGCTCCTTTAAAAAAAACAGATTGATTGGTAAATTAATTACCCTTAGAAATTTTTAATATCTCAGCTTATGGAGGTCCGAATTTAATGATTTTTTTTTAAATCCATGATTCGCGATTAAAAAAACAATTAACGTATTTTCAAATGCCTATCGTTAATAATTGGTCTTTCAACAGTCCGATAATTATTTATCTTTAAACTTCCTTTAATTATCAACTTTATTTTTTTATTGTATCAGGTAAGTGCATAAACTTATATCCTATTTATCAAAGATCAAAAACAAATTTATTTAAATATTCTAAAATTGTTTAAATAGCAATTATTTTCAAAATATGTCAAAAATTAGTAATATAATGAGTTAATTTCTCATTTGCTTATATTTTAAACAATAAATCATATTTGAATTATACTTTAATCACAAAAGAAATGATGATTCAATTAATAAATTAATTATAAAATAATCAATAATATTTTATTTATACTTAATTGCATTAATAAATCAGGATTTAAAAAATGTACACAAATTTTTGTTTTAAATTTATGAATGTATTTAAAATCTGCTTTAAATTATTCTAATTGTTTATAAGTACAAAAATTCGACCAAAGTTTAAATAAGCGACAGAGCGCTCCTAATTGACGGATTCGAATGTTTCAAAATGCGTTTGAAAGCTTGAGAGCCCTTCTATATGTGATTAAATTTTCAAGTATCTAAGGGCCTTGGTTTTTGCTGTGCAAACTTTTGAAAATTTGCAAATTTTTTTTCAAAATCTGGATTGCAAAATTATTATGCAAAATCTATCGAACCGATTTTGTTGAAATTTGGTGTGATGATTCTACATAACATGAAGTTTTCTTAAGCCAAGTATGAAAGTTCTATACCCAATTTAAAGATCCCAAAAAAATTCCCTAAAAAGTAATGTTTTTAACCCCATTTTTTGCGATATTTTCGATATTTGCAATAATAATCATGATTCATTCGATTTTTACCTAACTAGTCATATTTTGTAAAAAAATGTATTACAAACATTTTTTCCTCTTCCATTTTCGCCTAAAATCAACTCTTAATACATAACTAAATACATAATTAAATAGGAAGGAAAATATGACATTTTTCGAATTTTTTTCAAAATGACAAAAATCTCCGTGGATATACGATTCACCCAAACCAAAACAGATACCGCCTAGTCTATATGCTTATATTATGGCAGGCCCTTTAAAACAAGCCGCCTTTAAAGTAATTTAAGATCTATAAAACTAGTGTGAGATTCCCCAGTAAACAAAAATGTGATACTTCTTTTATGATTTAAATGCATAGACATAGAAATATGTTGTGCTTTACATCTGTTGAAAAGACAAAATGAATTAATCTTCAGTTCAAAATAGAATATCTGATGCATATGCAACTCATTTGATAAAATCGATGCCAATGGCACATCAAAGAAACGTGAAACGAAAAACATAAGACAAGGAAAGCATGTTTCATACCTGTTTGATGTGAGCACAGGAATAATCAAAGAAATCGAGCATTTATCGTCTACATCTTGTGTGTTTTTATTTGTGTTTATTTCGATTGGAAACGGTAAGGTATTATAAGTTCCCTTATACAGGGTGGTCCGTTTTACATGGCTCTTGTTGGCGCCATATTGGATCTTGGCAGTAACATGTAGAGGATAACATTACAAACACGTATATCTTACAGTTTCCCAGATACCAATGCAATGGTGAACCATGAAAGACGGACCACCCTGTATATATAAATATGTAAATGCTACCAAATTTATTGTGTTTTTACTTTGTGCTGACAAATATGTTTTCCTTATATTACGGAAAACAAATTAAATTCGTAATAATGCAAATATTGTTCAGTTACCCTACTCATTATATTTTGCTCCAATTATTTGACATTTGTTTCTTTAAATTAATTTATGAAAAAAATTGCTCTGTCGTTGATTTACACTTGTAATACTTTTAATGCTGCTTGATAAATAATAGGAAAGCTCCATATAATCATCTTTGTACCCTAAATATGCAAATTAAATAAAATCTCACGATATTATAGGTTTACTTCCAGTTTTGCAAGTCAAATACAAAAGTTTTAAAACTTCCAATATCAGAAAACTTTGTTTCGTGTCCATTCATCCTGATAAAATATCATAATAAATTTTCCGCACGAGGAAAGGTACTTCACTTTTTAAATAATGCAAAAAAGTTCCATAGGATGAATATAAAAAAATTGGGATTGAGATTGTTTTTTCCCAAATGAAACTTTTTATATCCGCTACCGATTTAGTCTTTCAGACATTTTCAACCCACTTTAATTTTGTCTTTCAGCGGGCAGGTTCTTAAATTTTAAGAATGAAATCACACGAAAGGTACATTAGTGTGATTTAGACAAAGCAGAAATGTGAAAATAAGGGAAAAAGGAAACAAATGGAAAACCTTATAAATTATTTAATATTCCTGTTTGACATAAATTTCATCCTAGCAAAATAAAGCGGAATATTTTAACTTTAAGCAAATTCGCAGTTACAATAAACCATGTAAAACGAGCCCAATATATTGTTTTTTTATGGAATAGAATGAAGCATAGACAGCGGTTTACTTAAATTAATCGGTAGGCAACGAAATGTCTGCCGATACGAGTATAGGAGTACTGGTATGAATTTACATCAGTAATTTGATAATTTCGAGCTGTATTCATATGTCACCATTATGACAAGTTCTAGACTAGAATAGAAAAGCTCGCTCTCGTCTAAAACACGGCTATGTATATAAATCTTATAAGCGATGACAGTATAAATTGGACAAATGCAAAAAAATTAAGGGTTTCCAGAAATATCTATAAAAGTACTTCGGTGACATAAAAACCCAATTTTCAGACAATATTTTAGCACTTACCTCACCGTTCTACATTTATAGACGAATCGCAATTCGAAATAGACAGCGACAGAATTGATGTAAACATCCACCGGGTTAATACGTAAAGTTTGCAGGATGCAGTTTCCTGAAACCGTCAATAGTTAGGTACATAGAAGTTCCTGGTAGATTTACACAAACGCGGTGAAACTTTGTATGTGACAGCGAAGTCCAGTGGATTGCTTACAGTCAGAGTAAGATGGAGAAACCAACATGAGCTACAGATTTTTATAGGGCATCATAACGATAATATCGTGCCCTAAAAAAAAATAGAAAGATTTATATGTTTTAAGAGTAGGGTACTCGTTTTCCGCATATTTTTGGGACACCCTGTATATTTCATTTGTAGGATGTCATCTTCTGGCTCCCAAAAAATCTTTTTCGGTCTTATAATACCATTGTTTATACAAACTACACTACCAATGTAATGGTCATTGAAATATTGATGATTGAGCGCATGATTAAAAAGTACCATTACTATTTTAAATATGTATCTCGTTATAATAATTTCTTACTTTCTAAGTGATTTTTGTCACCCTTTTAAGTACATGATATGTTATTATATCTTCATTGTCTTCGCGAAAAAGCTAACAGAAGAATGGAATGTCAAACTCAAATAATTTTTGTTTTTACTAATTATATATGCCTACTGGTATTATTACAGAAACAAACCATTATGTATAACCTACAATTTCCTTTCAACTGCTACGCCACTGTAGTAAGAATAGAAATGCTCGGCAGCGTAATTTCCTTCATTTTATTGCAACACATTTAGTGAAGGAATACTTCTATAGAAGGAGAATGCAGTTCCCTTTTGAAATGAACATCTGAATTACAACTATAAAGGAAATATACTCCATGTATTCTTGAATTACATATGCTTCAAGTAATATATCAAAATAACAGTTTCCTTCCATTTGAGCATTGTATTTTCTTAGTATTATAACTCGACATGTTAACAAAACGTTATCTAATGCAAAGTATTTCATTATGAATGAAACGTAGGAGTGAAAAGCAAGTTTCTTTGACACCAACAATGCTGAAATTTTCAGAAAACACGTTTTTGACAGAGAGAGAGAGAGAATTTCAAAAATAGTATTCATGAGCTTTAAACCATTTCCAGACAAAACGGGTCATACTTTGAGATTCTTTGCATAAAAGTGTGTAGCTTTATTAGTCCGTATACATACCTGATAAATATTATTA